CTACTTTTGACCAGGACCCATAGTGCACTACTTTTGACCAGGATCCATAGTGCACTACTTTTGACCAGGATCCATAGTGCACTACTTTTGACCAGGATCCATAGTGCACTACTTTTGACCAGGATCCATAGTGCACTACTTTTGACCAGGACCCATAGTGCACTACTTTTGACCAGGATCCATAGTGCACTACTTTTGACCAGGATCTATAAGGAAACCCATAGGGCTCTTGTAAAAAGTGGTTTCTCTGGGGTTTTTTGTCACATGCACAAGTACAGTAAAATGCTTACCTTGCAAGCTCTACCCAACAGTGCAGTAATCAATATCAAAATAGTACAACTATTATTATTTATTTATAAACATAAGAAATAAGAGAGGAAGCTATATACAGGGTCAGAGTTCAGTACCACAGAGATGAAGCTATATACAGGGTCAGAGTTCAGTACCACAGAGAGGACGCTAGATACAGGGTCAGAGTTCAGTACCACAGAGATGAAGCTATATACAGGGTCAGAGTTCAGTACCACAGAGATGAAGCTATATACAGGGTCAGAGTTCAGTACCACAGAGAGGAAGCTATATACAGGGTCAGAGTTCAGTACCACAGAGAGGAAGCTATATACAGGGTCAGAGTTCAGTACCACAGAGAGGAAGCTATATACAGGGTCAGAGTTCAGTACCACAGAGATGAAGCTATATACAGGGTCAGAGTTCAGTACCACAGAGAGGACGCCAGATACAGGGTCAGAGTTCAGTACCACAGAGATGAAGCTATATACAGGGTCAGAGTTCAGTACCACAGAGACGAAGCTATATACAGGGTCAGAGTTCAGTACCACATAGATGAAGCTATATACAGGGTCAGAGTTCAGTACCACAGAGAGGACGCTAGATACAGGGTCAGAGTTCAGTACCACAGAGACGAAGCTATATACAGGGTCAGAGTTCAGTACCACAGAGATGAAGCTATATACAGGGTCAGAGTTCAGTACCACAGAGAGGACGCTATATACAGGGTCAGTGTTCAGTACCACATAGATGAAGCTATATACAGGGTCAGAGTTCAGTACCACAGAGAGGAAGCTATATACAGGGTCAGAGTTCAGTACCACATAGATGAAGCTATATACAGGGTCAGAGTTCAGTTCCACAGAGACGAAGCTATATACAGGGTCAGAGTTCAATACCACATAGACGAAGCTATATACAGGGTCAGAGTTCAGTACCACATAGATGAAGCTATATACAGGGTCAGAGTTCAGTTCCACAGAGACGAAGCTATATACAGGGTCAGAGTTCAGTACCACAGAGAGGACGCTAGATACAGGGTCAGAGTTCAGTACCACAGAGATGAAGCTATATACAGGGTCAGAGTTCAGTACCACAGAGAGGACGCTAGATACAGGGTCAGAGTTCAGTACCACATAGATGAAGCTATATACAGGGTCAGAGTTCAGTTCCACAGAGACGAAGCTATATACAGGGTCAGAGTTCAGTACCACAGAGAGGAAGCTATATACAGGGTCAGAGTTCAGTACCACAGAGAGGACGCTAGATACAGGGTCAGAGTTCAGTTCCACAGAGACGAAGCTATATACAGGGTGCCAGTACCAAATGTGCAGTGATACTGGAGTAATTGAGGTAGATATGTAAATGTAGGCAGGTATTAGGTGAAAGTGACTGGTAGCAGGATAAATAATAATAATAATAATATTACAGTTTTTTACAATCACTTTGGCACTAATTTCAGAACCTTGACGTCATTTTTCAAAACTCTAGACACAAAACTCACAACCAATGATCAAAATGCACATTTTTCAAAGCTCTAACACTTTTTTCAATTGCTTGGATACAATACACATAAAACTAAGATCATTTGTACATTTAACAAAAGTCACCTGTTCAATATGACACAACTTAACATCAAAGTACTACTATTTCAAAAGACAATTCACACATTACATTTCAGATGAGTGTCTATTCATTTCATTACAATTATCCAACTATCAATTGACACAACTGCTCAAAATGATAAGTAACTGTTGCATTGCTCTTAATGCATAGTCGTATGGAAACAGACAAACGATATTCCATGTTTAGATCATGAAAGTTTCAAAGTAACGAGATTCATTGTCACCAATTAGCGTGGAGCATGAACCAATTAGACTACATTATCTATGGATGTAATATTTCATCATCTTTCTTTATCAGACACCGTTTCTATGGTCCCCTTGTAACCTTCCTTGATGAGCTCGATCAGGCCTGTAGAGCCGATGGCGTGACCTATGTCATTGTGTGGGATAATGTCAGGTTCCACCATGCTCATATGGTGCAAGCATGGTTTCATGCCAATGCACAATTTACCACCCTGTATTTACCCCCATACTCTCCTTTCCTTAACCCGATTGAGGAATTTTCTCCCACATAGAGATGGAAGGTTTATGATAGGCGCCCTCATGAACAAGTCACTCTTCTCCAGGCCATGGATGACGCATGCAATGACATCACGGCAGACCAGTGTCAGGCCTGGATTCGCCATGGCCAAAGGTTTTTTCCAAGATGTTTGGCTAATGAAAACATCCATTGTGATGTAGATGAGAACCTGTGGCCAAAACCACAAGACAGAGTTGATGAAAATGTACAGTAGTCACTCCTATGTTTTGCTTTTTACAGTACAAGCAAGCAAGATGAGGAACACTGCATTTGATGTTTTACAGTACTGTATTGTTTTTCATCAATATATTTCAGATTTTGTTCAATGATTCCACTGTGTCTGTAGTATTCTCTCTACTACTGCAGTACTTTTACAGGGATGTATTTACATGTAGTACCATAATGAAACATGTATCACCTATTTTGTACTACAATATTTAATGATCGTACGAACAATGACACAGTGAAACTATCGGTTGCTTGTGTGTGGGTGATCTAAATTAAAGTTTCATTGGTATTTCACAATAAATTTGTTTTTTGAACCAATGATTGTGCAAGTGCAAGATTTCTTTAAAGATATGAATGCACAATGCAATGTTTTGAACATTGGACAGCCTGTGTTACAAGTGATGACCGTTTTGAGTTTTGTGTCTAGAGTTTTGAAAAATGACGTCAAGGTTCTGAAATTAGTGCCAAAGTGATTGTAAAAAACTGTATTAATAATAGTAAAACAGTATGGCAGTAGTGTAAGTGTGTGTGTGTTCATGTATGTGCGTGTGCGTGTGTGTGTGCGTGGGTGTGCGTGTGTGTGTATGTGTGTTCATTTTTGTGCGCGTGTGTGTGTGTGTATGTGTGTTCATTCATGTGCGTGTGCGCGCGTGTGTGTGTGCGTGCGTGCGTGCGTGTGTGTGTGTGTGTGTGTTCATTAATGTGCGTGTGCGCGCGCGCGTGTGTGTGTGTGTGTGTGCGTGCGTGCGTGCGTGCGTGTGTGTAAGAGTGTCACTGTAGGCGTAACAGGTGGATATACATGGAAACAAGGCTGAAAAGTGACTGGTAGCAGGAATATATAAATACTATGGTAATGTATACATGTAAACAGGAGTAGTAGTGACCAGTAGCAGGATACATCGATAGATACTAATGGTAATGGCAATCAATAAGCAATGAACAGCAGCGTAGTGGTTGAAAATAATCTAATCAATATTCATTTTAGCAGCAGCGTAGGCGTGAGGGAGAGCAGTAGTTGTGAGTCATGGCCCGATTACGAGAGGGAGTTACTAACCACATTTGCTGTTGAGGAAATGTCACTGACTGCAATGGAAACAGCCACTGAGTTTATTTTAGGAGAGGTGCATTTGCAAATGCATGCTAATTTAAATGAGATAAGGTCAACAGAAATGCTAATCGTTCCATGATAGCGTAGAGATAACTATTTTTAGGAAGTCATGTTGATAGAAATAGATACTATGACCTGATTCAAAATGATCATGATTTACAAGTCATTTGCTGTTTTTAGAAAAACATTTCAGCACACGTTATAGGACCTTAGAGTACAGTCATCTGACCAGTTCAGAAATTCCTTTTGTAAAAAATCCACCACTTGGCTGTAGAATCTCAAAATAGTGACCATCATCTAGTGATGTAAAGTCAATGTTACATACATGATCATAATTGATTCAAATACAACTCGCACACAAGAAATGTTTGTCCTTTTTCTTTAGCATTTTATTGAGGTATTGACTCAACAACACTAGTTAAATAAATAAATAAATAAAAAAATTACACTTAAAATGTGGAACTATAAAATGCAATTAAATAACATAACAATTAGGTATTAGACACTTGAAATAAATTAAATAAATAATGTCAAATTCCATTTAAATAACAATAAATACAGACAACAATACAACTATAATGAACTTATAAAGGATAAATAATAATAATAATAATAGATATATTAATAAAAGAGAAAGACATTAATCATTCAGAATCAATTAGAAACTATTTTAACTTAATCAATAAGAGAAATCTGACCGATGTAGTGGCATATTCAAAATGCTTAAAAACATTGAATCGTCGTCAGAATTCCTTCAGATAAAAGGATAAAGTACGGTTGGTTTGTGTGCTGTGGATGCTAGTTCTGCATCAGGTCCTGAGTGTAACACTAGTTCAGTACATAGTACTTTAAAATCATAGAAATATACTGCCATGGTAACACCACGGCAACACATTTGTTATACAATAAACCCCAAGTATATATTAACTGCTACAGTTTACATAGGTTGGTATCATTCCTCTAGCCTGGGTCCCAGATCTGTTTGTGCTCTTGCCTACTCCATACTGTCATGCAAGCCAATGTTTGGCAGGTCAAAGGGTGGCAAGGAGTGGCATGATAACACAAAACAGACTGGTACCCAGGCTATAATTCCTCATCTTTAACAGAAGAGTATAAAGCGTTGGCTTTAACATAAAACAACAATACCTTAACCTCAGTCGACTTCAGTCGGTGAAACGCCCTGACTGGGACACGGCCTTCCTCTCTATCGTCAAAACATTTTTTGTCTGTCTCACAAGGCGAACACGCCGAAGAAGTTCTTCCCATCACCACTCTCCAGATGGGGCAGAAGCCAGTTCTCTGTGTTTGCCTGGAGCCTGTCTCCTCTCTCCAGACTGAACACAGCTCCCACATACACTGCATTATACCACTTTCCTTCACTCGTAGCCTCGCTGTTGGGAGACCTCTTACACACGGTGCGTACAGAGTTGAGCAGCGGCAGGTACTCCTTGTTGTCTTCGCTGCCATAGCTTGGGGACCAGCGCTTGACCGTGTTACTCAGGTGAACCATCTCCTGGCCGTTAGGGTGCTTGGGGTCTGCCTGGCACCTGACGTGGAATGAGGCCTGGCTATAGATGAAGTAGAGGCCCGTCTGGGGGATCACAATCTCGTTGTTGTTGAGTTTAAGGCCCCCCTGTGAGAATCCCTGGCCCACTTCGTCTGTCCACTCCACTGAGGACTTGTATTCTCCGTTGGCGTTGTATTCACCTAAGAAGGGAAGGGAGGAGAGAGAGAGAGGTTGAGATGCAGAGTGGTTGGACATTGACTCATGGAGCACTGCGACCCACCATCCACCCACTATTGAGTCAAGTTGTAGATGAGCAGTTTCAAAAAGAGATGAAGGTTATGTCTTGATGTATGTCAAACAGGCTTGATTCATTCACAGCTTCTTATCCCATTACAAAGTCAGGGTCAAGTGTGCATTGATTTGCATTGGCTAAATTTACATCCAAGTTCATTCCAGTTCTACAGTGCTGTTGAAATGACTCGACGCTGTGCTCTGAATACATTGTGTCCCAAATGGCCCTGGTCAAAACTAGTGCACTATATAGGGAATAGGGTGCCATTTTGGGACGTAGCCATTTCATACATTACTGGATAGTGTGCTCTTACCTTCTAAATGAATGGCAGCCTTTCTGTTCCCAGAGAGTTGTCTCAACATATGCTGAAGTTCTGAGGAGGGAAGAAGATGGAGATTTAAGAAACTGTGACGTCTTCACAAGCTGAATCTTCTCGCGCTAACCCCATGTAATGCTGCACTGCTGTGAGAGCTTCTAAAAGCTTGCAAGAATGTATCTTACACACTTAGGTTTTTATCTCAAATGGCACCCTATTCCCTATATAGTGCACTACTTATGACCCCAGCCCTATTGGACCTGGTTAAAAGTAGTGCACTAAATAGGGAATAGGGTGCTCAATTTAGAATGCAACCTTTATCAAGGGAGTAGCAGTATATATTCAATATTATAACGCCATAGTACATAGCAGTAGAACGTGTAGAACTAGACAGAAACAAAGGAAACGAACTCACCATCAGATTCTTCGACGTGATCTTGTTTCTGAGGAAAAGAGAAACAGAGATAAAGAAAGAGTTAGTCCTGCGATCGGTTTCATATTGACGCTAAACAGGAGATATATGAGCTATACAGAGATTTACATAGGATACAAACACATACAAAAATATGCATAGATATATAGTGTATAGATATATAGATATATAGTGATATAGATATATAGATATATAGTGATATAGATATATAGATATATAGTGATATAGATATATAGACATATAGATATATAGTGTATATATATATAGATATATAGTGTATAGATATATAGTGTATAGATATATAGATATATAGTGTATAGATATATAGATATATAGTGTATAGATATATATAATGATATAGATATATAGATATATAGATATATAGTGATATAGATATATAGATATATAGATATACATAAATAAATGCAAGGTAAATACATATAAATGAAAGTAAATCTTTATTTATCAAATTGCTGATGGAATACTCTTGATATTAACACATCAAAATAGTCCCGAATCAATTTAACTAGACATTGTGCCACTAATAATTAATGATGAGATAAAATAGGATCTGTATTCTTACCTTGGCGTGCCAGGTAACGAAAAGTGCAGCTGAGACACACAGTGCCATGGCCAGCAGAGCACCGCTCAGCCTCCACCGGTGTGCGTTTGTGGACTTCTCCCGTACCAGGGTCACGGTGGTTGACGGGTACACAGGCCCACTCTCCATGTCTACCGACACTCTGCTGCAATCGCCTTCCATCGTATAGTAGAAACCTTCCTTTATCTACTTATCCAAGGCAGTATCGAAAGAGAGCTCGAGTGTCAACGAAAGCTCTTTGCGGTCTAGAAGTTAGTAAAATGTTAGAGCTAAACTCCAACAGTTTATTAGAGGTTGTTTTGAAGGTAGGGATTGTCCTGCTGTTGCTGTGTTTGATTGACTTATGCTCTGAGCACTGCTGCTAATATACACATAGCTACTGGGAAACTCCAGTGATGTCAGTCAGAGTGGAGGCAAGCAGAGGAACAGAGAGTTGGGGGGAGGAGGTGGAGGCATGCGGATGGGTGTAATGGCTGAGGAACCTGTAGCATTTTCACACTTGAGAACGGTTTCACAACCACACACAGGAAGAGTAGCGGCTGCAAGAGCTGATGGGAACCTAATAAACTAAACTAAATTAAACACCACACGCACGCCCGCACACACACACACACACACACGCCCGCACACACACACACGCACGCACACACACACACACACACACACACACGCACGCACACACACACACACACACACACACACACGCACGCACGCACACACACACACACGCACGCCCGCACACACACACACACACGCACGCCCGCACACACACACACACACACCGCCCACACACACACACACACACACGCCCGCACACACACACACACACGCCCGCACACACACACACACGCCCGCACACACACACACACGCACACCCGCACACACACACACACGCACACACACACGCCTGCACACACACACACACACACACGCCCGCGCACACACACACACACACCCGCACACACACACACACGCCTGCACACACACACACACACGCACGCCCGCACACACACACACACACACACACGCCCGCACACACACACACACACACGCCCGCACACACACACACACGCGCGCACAGCTATCTTCCTCTAACTCTCTCTCATGTCTCAAGTAACACCAAAGTGTAAGTCTCCAACTTCATCTTTAGTCTGTTCCTTATTGGGTTTTCCTTTCATCTTTATGGGATTTCCTTGTCTTTTTTTCTTTGGAATTTTAATGTTCTGCCTTTCACGAGTTTTCTACTTTTGCATGTCAGCACTGGTGGCTGGTTTTAAGGGTAGAGCAGTCTATTGAGCAACAGATGACGTTGTGGTATCATTTAAGTTCAGTAAAGGAGGTAGCAGTTCGTTTTTTTATATGAAGGATGAAAGTAAATGTGTTACTGTATGTTGGCGTCCAAGTTCATGGTAAAGCCCATTATCACTGTTACGCTGAAGTACACTTGTATGCTAACGTTACATTTGGACTATACATTATCACAAGAAAACATCTTCATTTGCCAAATATGGGCCAAGAAAGACGTGTCATGGCTGCTATCTGTAATGGTATAACTTTAATTATGTTAATGTTACATTTTCACTATACAGTGCATTCGGAAAGTGTTCAGACCCCTTGACTTTCTCCACATTTTGTTACGTTACAGCCTTATACTAAAATGGACTAAATAGTTTCCCCCCCCTCATGAATCTACAAACAATACCCCATAATGACAAAGCAAAAACAGGTTTTTAGAACATTTTAGCAAATGTATTAAAAATATAAAAAATAGAAATATCAAATTTACATAAGTATTCAGACTCTTTACTCAGTACTTTGTTGAAGCACATTTGGCAGCAATTAAAGCCTTGAGTCTTCTTGGGTATGACGCTACAAGCTTGGCACACCTGTATTTGGGGAGTTTCTCCCATTCTTCTCTGCAGATCCTCTCAAGCTCTGTCAGGTTGGATGGGGAACGTTGCTGCACAGCTATTTTCAGGTCTCTCCAGAGATGTTCGATCGGGTTCAAGTCCGGGCTCTGGCTGGGCCACTCAAGGACATTCAGAGACTTGTCCCAAAGCCACTCCTGCGTTTTCTTGGCTGTATGCTTAGGGTCGTTGTCCTGTTGGAAGGTGAACCTTCGCCCCAGTCTGAGGTCCTGAGTGCTCTGGAGCAGCTTTTCTTCAAGGATCTCTCTGTACTTTGCTCCATTAATCTTTCCCTCGATCCTGACTAGTTTCCCAGTCCCTGCCACTGAAATGGTGCCAGGGATGGTGCCAGGTTTCCTCCAGACGTGACACTTGGCATTCAGGCCAAAGAGTTAAATCTTAGTTTATTCAGACCAGAGAATCTTGTTTCTCATGGTCTGAGTCCTTGAGGAGTGGCTTCCGTCTGGCCACTCTACCATAAAGGCCTGATTGGTGGAGTGCTGCAGAGATGGTTGTCCTTCTTGAAGATTCTCCTATCTCCACAGAGGAACTCTGGAGCTCTGTCAGAGTGACCATCGGGTTCTTGGTCACCCCCCTGACCAAGGCCCTTGTCCCCCGATTGCTCAGTTTGGCCGGGCGGTTAGCTCTAGGAAGAGTCTTGGTGGTTCCAAACTTCTTCCATTTAAGAATGATGGAGGCCACTGTGTTCTTGGGGATCTTCAATGCTGCAGAATATTTTTGGAACCCTTCCCCAGATCTGTGCCTCGACACAATCCTGTCTCGGAGCTCAACGGACAATTCCTTCGACATCATGGCTTGGTTTTGCTCTGACATGCACTGTCAACTGTGGGACCTTATATAGACAGGTGTGTGCCTTTCCAAATCATGTCCAATCGATTGGAAAGGCATATAGACAGGTGGACTCCAATGAAGTTGTAGAAACATCTCAATGGAAACAGGATTCACCTGAGCTCAATTTCGAGTCTCATAGTAAAGGGTCTGAAAACCTATGTAAATAAGGCATATCTGTTTTTTATCTTTAATAAGTTAGCAACATTTTCTAAAAATCTGTTTTCACTTGGTCATTATGGGGTGTAGATTTATTCTATAAAAAAACATTTTAGAATAAATGTGGAAAAAGGGAAGGGGTCTGAATATTTTCAGAATGCACTGTTTATTCTCACACGCAAACTTCCTCATTTGCCAAATATGGTCCCAAAGAGATGTGTCATGGTTGCTGTCTGTAATGGCTGCTGTCTGTAATGGCTGCTGTCTGTAATGGTTGCTGTCTGTAATGGCTGCTGTCTGTAATGGCATATCAGTCACTTCCTTCCATCTCTTTAAACTAGGCCAAGCGCACAGGGAGGGGGGGAGTCCTCATCAAATGTTAAATCACCATCTCCCCCCTCTCTCTAAATATTTCAACCCCTAATTTAAGTTAATTTTCCCTTTGTTTTCATGCAAATGATATAAAGGCATGAGAGATACTTATTTTCAATGTAATAATAAAACAATTTGTTATCTATAACTTTGAATAGGGAAAATACAAGCAATAAAAGGTAATAATAAGAAACGTAACTTTACTATGATAAAACATTCTATACAATTGCTGACCACACAGTGTGATGTCTGGTGTCCATATTAGGAAGGCCACAGTCTCATCCTGTTCTGTTTTGCCTCATCCATCCTGCTTATGTTTAATAACTGCAGTCACTCTGTGTAGTATTCAGAGATTATACCATAACAGTGTAGTATTCAGAGATTATAACATAACAGTGTAGTATTCAGAGATTATACCATAACAGTGTAGTATTCAGAGATTATACCATAACAGTGTACTATTCAGAGATTATAACATAACAGTGTAGTATTCAGAGATTATACTATAACAGTGTAGTATTCAGAAATGATACCATAACAGTGTAGTATTCAGAGATTATAACATAACAGTGTAGTATTCAGAGATTATACCATAACAGTGTAGTATTCAGAGATTATACCATAACAGTGTAGTATTCAGAGATTATACCATAACAGTGTAGTATTCAGAGATTATACCATAACAGTGTAGTATTCAGAGAACTACCTCATCCCTATATTGTTATTTATTTTGCTCTTTTGCACCTCAGTATCTCTATTTGCACATAATCTCTTGCACATCTAGCATTCCAGTGTTAATACTATTGTAATTATTCTGCACTATAGCCTATTTATTGCCTTACCTCCATAACTTGCTACATTTGCACACACTGTATATATATTTTCTGTTGTATTTCTGACTTTATGTTTTTTTACCCCATATGTAACTCTGTGTTGTTTTTATTGCACTACTTTGCTTTATCTTGGCCAGGTCGCAGTTGTAAATGAGAACCTGTTCTCAACTGGCTTACCTGGTTAAATAAAGGTGAAATAAAAAAAATAAAAATAAATACCATAACAGTGTAGTATTCAGAGGTTATCACATAACAGTGTAGTATTCAGAGATTATAACATAACAGTGTAGTATTCAGAGATTATACCATAACAGTGTAGTATTCAGAGGTTATAACATAACAGTGTAGTATTCAGAGATGATACTATAACAGTGTAGTATTCAGAGATTATACCATAACAGTGTAGTATTCAGAGATTATAACATAACAGTGTAGTATTCAGAGATTATACTATAACAGTGTAGTATTCAGAGATTATACCATAACAGTGTAGTATTCAGAGATTATAACATAACAGTGTAGTATTCAGAGATTATACTATAACAATGCCAACAAAACACGAAAGTCCATAATCAGAAGTATCAGTGGAAAGATGATAAATAGTGACTGTGTATTATATTAATGGAAGAATATATTTGTAATTTTGTGACACAGTTACTCAGATGGGGGTCAGTCTGTGTTTGTGTGGATGTTAGCATTCATTTTCTTATTTACAGTAATATCCCTACTATGTGAGTGAGTGTCTGACAAGCCTTCGGAAGCCCAGGCTTCTCACACGAGATGAGATTTGGAAGGAAGTGCTGTCATCAACGTTACTTAACAAACAGAGCCATGTAGGAGCATATTTGTATTTATAAACTGGGGGGTTTGAGCCCTGAATGCTGATTGGCTGAAAGCCATGGTATATCAGACCGTCTACCACGGGTATGACAAATCAGCATTCAGGGCTCAAACCACCCAGTTTATAAATACAAATATGCTCCTACTAAATACTTTTTTCCCCCACTGTACCACGGCTGTCAGCCAAACATTTATTTTTACT